GAGAGAGAGAGAGAGAGAGAGAGAGAGAGAGAGAGAGAGAGAGAGAGAAAGCGATACAAAGAAATAATGCTCACCCTTCTTTTACTGTTGCATGATTCATGATGAGTGAATTAGCAATCTTGACCTTTTCTCCAATGTCGCAGTGGTGGCCCACAATGGACCGCTTCACTGATGCCCTTTCGCCCACAGTGGCTCCCTCTCCCACCATGCTGTCATGACCAACCTGAATATATGGATACACATGACAAATTATTCACATTATTAACCCCTGACACACATACATACATACAGTGACAGGTTAAATTATATTGACACCCGACTTTCACAATAACATGGTGTCTGCTTAGTATATCACTAAATCCATTGAGGGAATCTATCAGTTTGGCAACGAGTAACAATAGCGGGAAGATAACAAGGAGCTAATATGGGTGTGGGACAATGGAAAAGTGAATGACAATGTGATAGCAAGGGAGGGAGACACAGCAAGGAATGCACCACCAGAGGACGCCCCCACCACACACACGGTCAACATGGCAAAATTTTGATAGGGTCGTTTACCTGCGCCTTCGAATTGACGTTAGCAGACGAACTAACAAACTGCTTCTCAGAAACAACCGATTTGAGGAACTTCGTCACCTGAAATATATACACACCCAGTCTCTCGTTACTTTTCCATACACTCTGCTGTCAAATGTTCCCCGTATAGAAGGACTGAAGAGCATAGAATCTAAGTTGTCCACAGCAATGTTATAGAGAGAATGAGAACGAACTGGAAGGTGTACGAGATAAAAGTAAATGGAATGCGCTTCCTGATTAATTGATTAATCCATCCACCAGAGGGAGCTAGTGTACCTGTCTGTTCATCTCACAGTAGGCAGCCATTGTGTTTGTTCTCACGCAGAAAGCATCCTGTGTGATGTAGGCATAGCAACGGATGCCGCTGCCCGTTGCCACGATATCACCGACGCGGGACGAGGACGACATCTCTTTGCCCAATCGTTCCAATTTATTCTCCTCCTGGTGGCTGAATATATCTGAGCATGGAGAAATTGTTCGTTAGCGCGGCCATCTTTTTTTCGAAAGATTTCCTTCGGTCCACTCTCCGCCGATATCATTAACATGATGAATTGCATCACATAATTATTTATTTTAACACATATCAGGTAATTGCATATATTCTTGCAGTTTTAACATGCCTGTACGTTTAATTGTGGTGTAATTATTATGTCATAGGAAGAGTGCACAGCAAATTGCCAGTAATAAAATACTATGCATCGTACCAGGAATAGGAACTTCTACAACAGAGCCATCTGTTGGTGAAACATCAGTAGTCTTCTTTGTGGAAAACTGTTTCTTTACAAAGTATGGCAGCAGCTCTCCTTTTAATGTACCAATTTTTCTGCGTAAGGAAGATAAAAATGCTATAAAGTTCTCAGAACAGTTGAAATGTAAAATCTCACGTTCAAGCATACAATATTAGTTAGGTACTAGTAATAGTTGAAAGCTTAATTCTTATAGCTTCATATAGCTATCTTCATATATAGTAGAATTAAAACATGTTTTATAGAGAATCACAATTATAAGTACAATCAGAATTCTCCATTAGTGTAGGATGGCAAAGTTTTAGTACAGCTGTTCAGCCAAACTTACGGTTTAGATGCTAGAAATTCCACAACTGACTTTTTCATGATATAAAGGTGACCATCTGTTAAACTTGAATATATCGTGATATTTGGAAACCTGCAATACACAATCAAAATGCACGTTTAGTAATTATTCCAGATTGCCTTAAACTAGACAGTCTCTCTTCACTCATGCCTTAACCAGGGCTCAAATTTTACCACAGCACACACGGAAAAACCCGTGATCACGTTTTATTTGGCACTGAGATTTTTTTGATAGCTTCAGCACGAAATGGTTTCTTACTACAATAAGCTACATATAGACTCCCCGACTTACGAACATTCAAGTTACGAACTTTCGATGATACGAACAATTTGCCCTGCCTCCATTAGTGTATAATGTCAATATTGGTGAATAAAAAGACACAATCGCCCCCCACCCCTGATTTTAACTTTCGCCAACTCCTGTGTTCACGTATGTTTACACTATGTACAAATCTAGGTTACTCGATGTTCACACGTACATATACTACACTACTGTACAATACTGTATACGTACGTACATATGTTCGACTTACAAACCAATCGACTTACGAACGACCGCTCGGAACCGAACCAGTTCGTAAGTCGGGGAGTCTCTGCACTTGAAACTGCTCTTCCTCCATAGTCATTATCTTCCATAGATCCACTTACCTCTTTAATATTGATCGCCGTAGTGAAATATTTTCTTCAAAGTCGGCCTCTGACCCCATCATTACGATCCTACTGTCCTCACCATGCAAACCTATCAGATCTTTCTCTGCAGATGCACAATGAAACCCATGACGATACTCGAGAGTGTTATTTGGGAATCTAGATTGTTTTCATTCCATCACTAACTACTGATATATAGAGCCCACTGACATGACTGATAAATATTACTTTTATAAGTTATTATAAAGGGTATTAAAATTTGCAGCCCAGACAAAAAACTGCAGTCATCAGATATGACGTGAGGATATTTTAAGATTGCACGAGTCTGACGCGTTGCGATAACCAAAATTCGGCCTCGTCGCATTCTAATGCTAAATGCCCACGTACATGTGAAGGTTGCGAGGTAACTACCAGACCTGATCGCCGCTTAGACTTCGGACCAGGTCCCACTGCCTCGGCAAAACCCTTGGGAAGCGGAGCGAGCAATGCCGTGATGGTGGCATCGTGGGACCGATGAACGTCTGCCAACAGGTGGAGCTGTACGTCGCAGATGAGATCACAGCTGATGACGATGACATCACGCTGAAACGTTCGCGGCAACGGCGAATTAGCGCAATTACCAGGAAAAAAAACCCAAAAGATAAAACATGCAGACACAGCAACATGCTCACTTACGCACAAGCCCACATTTAAGCACCGGCAATACAACTAACAACCGTACCATAATTTTCTGAGACAAAATCAACCGTTATTATCAACAAATATTAACTAAACATTGAACTGTAGATTGTACATCTACGTTTTTTAGTAATATCTTGCCACAAGGATGCCAAGCTCATGGTGAAGGGCATCATAGAGTGATGTGCACCTACCAAACGAGTTTACTGAGCAAAACATCAAGATATGCAGTCACCTCAATCTTGTCAGCGATGAGACGCAGAGAGTCAGCAGTTCCCAAGTCCTGGTCGTCGTTGATCGAAACAAAGTCCAGCTTGATCTTGAGATCACATTGTGAGAGAGCCAGGTAGACATCTTTTTTCGCCGACTGTAGAACGACGACTATAGCCTCTGAAACCATCAACAGAAGAGATAATAAAAAACGAGTAA